CTTTCGCTGGCCAGCCTCGTCCGAAGAACGTCAGTGTGGCCCTCCACATCCTCATTATACTGGTTGACTGGTTGACTGTACCCTGGCAGCCGTCGGACGTATGCAATGTGTCCTCGGCGAGGACCATCGCGGAGCATCTAGTTTCGTCTTGCGAGCAAATGCACGTACGATGTCGGAACATGCACGGGGAGCGGACGTCTGAGCGATGGCGAGGTACGTACCTATATCAATACCCTTCCCTTGTTTTAATGTTTGGTCTGCCTTCTGGGAGGCCCTTGTCGCCAACGCTGGATGCGCCTCGATGCTCGTTGCTCGATCGTCTGAGAATGTCTTCCAGATGTCGTAATGATGGAAGTGAAGGCGGTCTCAACCCTCTCAGACGAGCAGTTTGAGGCCCTGCCCCACACGAACGAGCCACGAAAGGGCGGCCTTGGCCAGACCCCACTGGAAACCTCCAAGACAGCTCCAAGCAGACCCCACCCCAAATCGGACCACCACCCTTCTGTTGTGACATCCGGAGTGCCCTTGCTGCTACCCTTCCCTCGTTCTCTTGTTTGCTCAGCCTCGCGGGAGTCCCTCGTCGCCGCCGCTGGATCCGCCTCGAAATCCTGGTCGGGACGCGCCCTGGGAGAGGTCCGGGGTGTGGCGGCAGCGGTACCTGTTGGCTTCCCCCCTGCATGGGAGGCGTCTCGCCTGATCCGGCCTCGGGTCCTCGCCCCCGGGCCTCGGGGCCGCAAGGAGCACTCGGGGCGAGACACCGTCGACTTGACGTAAGAGTGACCTTTCGCCCGAGTGACCTTTGGTGCGGGCCCAGTGGGGCCCTCCGATCGCCGAACGCGATGCGATAGTGGCGCCCTGCGCGCCTGCGTTTGGTCCCCCCGCGGCCTCCAAGAAGCCGCGCACCAAAGGTCACTCCTACCCAGGGTCACTCCTGCGCGCAGCCGACACCGGTCCCTGGCAATGAGGTCGAGGCCTTTGGGGGGTCGACGCCGCGAAACAACCCTGACGTCGGGGGTCTGGGCCCTCTCGGCGGTGCTTGCTTGCTCGATCGGCCTCCTCCTTCTCCTCCTCCTCCTCCTCCTCCTCCTCCTCCTCCTCCTCCGCCTCCTCCTCCTCCTCCTCCGCCTCCTCTTCCTCCGCCGCTATCACCAATGGGGCCACCTCCGGCGAGGAGGTTCGCGATGGCTACCCGAGCTGGGGATAGGGGGTGTCTCCAGCGAGGGGGGGGGGGACACACCATCGGGGTGACCCCCCCCTGGCTCCTCCCGCCGGTGGTCCCCGGTGCAAGTCTGGGGGGGTGGTGCCCCGAGGGATGGGGCATCAAGGATACGAAAGGGCTCCCAAAAGCTGAACCTCTGCTGTTTGAGGCCGCTCACCCTCGGTGCCCCAGCCTTCGTGGCCCCACTTCTGTCAGGAGGAGAAAAAAACACACAGACACAATTAATCGTCGAGTCCCAGGAAAATATGGGGAAATATGGGAAGTGGGGGGGAAGACGAACACCTCGAAAATATGTGAAAAGATGGGGAATATTTTTGTTTGTGTGTATTTATTTGTGTGTCCTGGGGCCCCTTTACTCTGAACCGCCGACCCTCCGGGGCAGCGTCAGGGGGGGGGGCATGAGCTCGACGGTTTTCGTATGTCCCCGGCGGTTCTCCAGCCTCGCGAGGCGCTCTCCAGCAGCTGCGCCTCGCGGAGAGGCGTCCGAGGTTGCCCGGGTCGCCCCGACCGGCCGTCAGGACGGGCCCAGGCAGGACTCTGTCGTGGTCGTCGTGGAAGGGCGCGTGCAGCCGATCGATCGACGACGACGACGACGACGAGAAGAAGAGCGTTATAAATTACGGGGTGTTTTTGTGGAATTCCTCACGGCCACGGCTGGACCTGGCCACGCTTACCCAGGGCCCCTCTTTGCGCGAAGCCCAGTCTAAGTGATTGGTCGCTGTCGGCACTCCTTCCGCCCCTGGAGGCCTCGCCTCCGTGGGCCTCCGGAGACCTGGGAGAGCTTCGGAGTCGTGCTCCGGGATGCTGCATGTTTTTGTCGGGCCCGTTTCTGGGCCGGGTGGCGGCCAGAAAGCTCCTTGCGGCGGAATGGGGGACCAATTCAGTGGAGGTCTGGGTGTTCTCGGGGGGGCCCAGGGGCCCAGGGGTGTTCTCGGGGGGGCCCAGGGGCCCAGCACGAATTGCTGGCCTCGCCTGGAGGGCAACCTCCTGGCCACCCGCCGGGGCGCGAGATGCAGCCCTGCTTCGCTCCCCGTGGCCCGGGCCGCCGAGGTGCCCCTCACACTGCAGGGCGGCGGCGCGAGGGGCGCGAGAGAGAGCCTCGAGCCGCAGGGCGCGAGGCGCGAAGTCGGCTCGCCTAGAGATCCCCCCTTGCGGCGTCCCCGTTGCCCCCCCCCCCCCCACTGGCCAGTCTCCCCCCGCTCACAGGGGCAACGCTGGGGGTGGATGGGCTCGGGGGCGGGGGGGGAGGCGTCGACCTGGAGTCGGCGATGCGTCGGATATATATATATATATATATAGAGAGAGAGAGAGAGAGAGAGAGATCGGCGGTAGGGCCCCGGATGGCGAATCCGCACGCTGCTGCCCATCTCGGCCGGCGATCAATGGGCGATTGGATTGGGTGTCGATGCATCCCCCCTGAGCCCGTCCTCCCTCCTCCCTCCCTCCTTCTCCTCCTCCTCCTCCTCCTCCCTCCTCCTCCTCCCTCCTTCCTCTCCTCCTCTTCCTCCTCTGCTGCTCCTCCTCCCTCCTCCCCCTCCTCCTCCGTCCCCCCAGTCGTTGGCTGTTTTCGGGCCACAGCCTCGGGTCTCTGGCGGCTGCTCGGGACGCTCCGGCCCCTCGCGGCGAACTCTCCTGGCGAGGGTGCAGCCCGTAGAAGGCATCCCGAGGCTGGGGCACCGCCGAGGACCGACGAAAACGCTCGAAAGCCGCAGACCTTGAGCTCGACACTTCGCCCCCCCGCCTAACTTTGTCTCTGAGGGGGCTCGTTGCATTTCCCCATTGGCCTCTTCTCGGGCCAGACGAAAGGGGGGGATTGGGAAAGGGGGGGATACGAAATTTGCTGCATGCAGCTGGTTTCGGCCTCACCGAGGGGCCCATTCCTCGATACATGGGCGCCTCCTGGCGCCGTGAGGCGCAGGGAAAATCAGCCACGTTAGCTGCTTTCTCCCCCGCTCGCCCGACCCGATCTTCCCCCCATCACGCCCCCCCCCCCTTGGGCTTCCGCCGCTCCGGCTCTTCCTGCTCCCCCCGCCGCCCCGCCTGGAGCGCCGCTGCTCTGCGCGCTTTCGCGCGCACGCCGCGCCAGAGCCTGGGCAGGGAGCCCGCCTGGTCCGTTGGGCGTGGCGTCCGACAGTCCCCCCTGCTAGTGCCTCGGAAACAGCTGCGCAACCCTGGAGGAGGGAAGGGTACCGACGCTACGGGAACAAAAAGTGGCATAAACATAAAAACTCGGAGGTCCGCGCGGATTTCTCGGATCGGCGCTGGACCCCCCTCCCTGGCGTACGGAGCGCGCCAGGGGCGGCACCGGAGGCGCCGCCAGGGTGGTCCTGCGCGGATCTGAGAACTCCGCGCGGACCTCCGAGCTTTTGTGCTTCTGTCATTCTTCGTTCCCCTAATTATGCCCGTCTCCCTGCAGAGCAGCGGCGAGGTGTTCGCCCCCCGCGCGCGCGCGCGCTCCCCTGGGGGGCCTGCCGGCCCCGGGGTGTGCGTGGCCACGTCCCAAGGGCGCTTTCGGAGGCCGCTCCACGGGGGCGCCGGGGCGAGGCATGGGACGCTCTGGGAGGAGAGCCAGCCCCTGGGGGAGGGGGTCGACCTCCTCCTCCTCCTCCTCCTCCTCCTGCTCCCCCTCCTGCTCCTCCTCCTCCTCCTCCTCCTCCTCCTCCTCCTCCTCCTCCTCCTCCTCCTCCTCCTCCTCCCAGGGGTTCGCGCCGCTCCGACGATGCGCCGGCAATGCATCGGCGACGTCGGCGTGAAGCCCCTCGGGCTCCACATCGAGCCGCATCGCGGATGCATCGGCGATCCGGCTCGGTCCTTCGGCCCCATCTGCTCGGAACCCCATCTCGGAGGCCTGGACTCGTCGGGGGTCGAGAGGTCCGTGGGCCCACGCATCGAGCAAACCTAAGCGACGGAGAATGTCTGGGGAGAGAGAGGGAGAGAGAAAGAGAGAGAGAGAGAGAAAGGCAGAGAGAAACAACAAAGGAGAAGGAGGCAGATGAACAGAGAGAGAAGGAGGGAGGCATCTCTAAACATATACATATATAGACACCTACTGGACCACCCTTGAGGTGAGGAGGAGGTTTGGGGGGGGAAGAACCAATCGATGGCGGCTGCGATGGTTGAGATGGTGACGATGCTTGTGATGTGCCCTCGAGTTGGCGAGGACGCGTGATGACGGTGCTGCGTCGCGATGTGATCTCACGATCGATCTCTCTGCATCGATCTCTCTATCGACACCGACGGGCCAGCGACGGAACATCGACGGGACACCGACCAGACACCGCCGGGACACCGACGGGGCACCGACGGGACATCGACGGGACACCGACGGGACACCGACGGGGCACCGACGGGGCACCGACAGGACACCGCCCAGAGTCCGACGGGACGCCGATGGGACTCCGACAGGACATCGCCGGGTTACCGACGAGACACCGACGGGACACCGACGTGACACCGACGAGACACCAACCGGACACCACGGCGGGACACCCCCGGCCATCGCCCGCCCACCAGGGGGAAGGGCCGGACAATTATCTTGCCCCGCCCTGCCACAGCAGGGTCATCCCTCTCGCCCGCCCTCGCCTCGCCTGCACGCACGACACGAACCCGAAACCGAAACCGATCTCCTTTTGGGGGGCTCATCCGTTCCACTTCGATGTTACCCCCCCAACCTCCGATATATATATATATATATATATATATATATATATGTATGTATACGTTTACGGTAGATGTGTGGGCGTCAGGGGGGGTGCGTGTCACATCGGCCGCATTCGCTTGCATGGCAGCTGTTCTGGCTGGTTCTGCGCCCTCCACGGAGGGCATGGTCGCCCCCAGGACCACCGTGCCGCGCCTTTCGCCCGTGCGATACTGCGGGTGGTGCGGGGGACCCCTCGGGCGAGGGGAGTCGCTGGCCCTGGCCGAGGGCGGGTCCCTCCTGGAGGTCTGCGAGCTGTGCTACATCATCGGTCTGATTCGGCAGGCGGCGTGGCGCGCCCGCCTCAGCGTGGAGGCGAGGGCGGCGCTGCTCGACTCCGCCCGGCTCTTGGGCGCGCTGCTCTCCGCGCTCGCCGGCCTGGGGCTCGATGGCGCCGAAGGCGAAGGCCGTCGCCAAGGGCAAAGCCAAGGCTAAGGCTAAGGCGAAGGCCTTGGGCCGAGGACGCGCCCGCGGCCGAGGGCGCGGCGCCGGCGGCCTCAGGCGAGGAGCCGCGGGGAGAGGCGGAGGTGCCGCCGCCTTCCCGCCTGTTGCCCCGGGCCTGGCGGCGGCCGCGGCGGTCGGCGGCGCCGCGGCGGCCGCGCCCGCGGGCGGCGGTGCCGGCGCGCCCGTGGTGCCTGGCCTGGCGGCGCTGCCCGGCCTGCCAGGCTTCGGAGGCGGCGGGGCTGCTGGGGCGCCCCCGGCGGGCGGCGCCGTGCCTGACGGCGGAGGTGCTCCCCCCGGCGGCGTGGGCGCCGCGCTGGTGGTCGCGCTCGCGGGCGGCGGCGGCGGCCCTCCTGGAGGCCCTCCTCCTGGTGCGGTGCCGGGGGCCCCGGCGATCCCTGGTGTGCCGATCGCGGTGGCTGGCGGTCCCATCGCCCCAACGGGCGGCGCGCAGCTGGGACCACTCGTGGACGGTCCGTGGCGTCAGGCCGTGACTCTGATTGGCGCCGACTGGCGCCGAGGGGTGAATCTCGAGCTCCCGACCTTCGACGCAGCTGGAGGCATCAGCGGGACGGCCCTCTTCGAGGTAGAGGAGATCGGCACCACGGGCCCCTCAGGGCAGTACTTGAGCGCCCAGTTCAGGGGGGCGTCGCTGGCGGCCGAGGCGATGCGGCTGGACGGCCTGTTCCCACCGCGCGGCACCGGGCCTGCGGGCCTCCTGCACTTGCGCGGGCAGGGACCGGCGCTGTGCGGGGAGCCCGCTGTGCCAGGCCGAGGAGTCCTGCATGTCGAGTGGCTGCGGCTGCGCTCGAACCGCGGGTTCGTGGAGCCGTGGGTGCGGCCGAGCGCCTTCGGTGGGCGCGGCGGTGGCGGTGCCTTGACGGGGGGCGCCCCAGCCGGGGGCGCGGCCCCCGACCGCCTGGCGGCAGCTGCCGCGGCGCGCGCGCAGGCCGCTACGGCGACGCCTGGCCGCGCTGGTGGCGGTCGCGGCCGCCGCCGCCCCCGGAGCTCCTCGGCCTCGCGCAGCGACGACGACGGTGAGTCGCGTTTTCGCGAGGCCCCCTCCCGCGGCGGCAGCGCACGGCTGCTGGCGGAGAAGCGCCCAGGTGCCCTGCACGACGAGGCGATGAAGAACATCGGGCGCGTCATGGGCCTGCGGGAGGGGGCGGACGGCTCAGAGGTTCGAGCGAAGGTCGTGGGCTACCTGCAGGCCGTGGTGTTCGGCCATCACCCTCCAGGGCAGATGCGGATCAACACTCAGCGGGAGCTGCAGACGCTGGCGACCGCGCTGGACTTGCTGGAGTGTGGGTGCCTGGCGGAGTTGAGCGACGTGCTGATGCAGCGCTTCAAGGCTCTGGAGCTGTCACTGTCCGACGCGAGCTGGCAGGTGGCGAGCGAGCTGGAGATCGTGCTGGACGCGCGGCCCTCGCTGGCCTCGATGGGCGAGAAGGACCTGGCGCGGCGGGCGGCACTGCTGCGCAGGAGGCTGATGGGCGCGCAGAGCCGCGGCGCCCTCGGCGGCAAGGGTCAGGGCGAGCGCCAAGCCTGACCCGAGGAGGCGAGGCGCGGGAGCGGCGGAGCCCACTCGCCCTCGCCGAGCCGCCAGCAGGGCCGCGGTCGCGGGAAGAGCCGCGGGCGCGGCCGAGGCCGCTTCTTCCCCCTGCGGGCGGGGAGCCCAGCACGGCCTTGGGCAGGGCCGGCAGCCGCAGCCCCGCCCGCGGGTCCGCCAGGCGCAGCGCGCTCAGGCAGCGCGGGCAGGTCGCCGTCTCCGGGGGCGCTGAGGACGCCTCGAGGCGACAGCCCGCGCCCGAGGGCGGCGGACGGGCCGAGGCGTGTCTCGCTGGCGACGAGCCCGGAGCGCCACGTCTTCAGGCAGGACCAGCCCGCGGCTGCGGCGGCAGCGGGCCTGCAGCAAGGTCCGCCGCGAGGCCCGGCCCCCCCGAGCGGCCGCCGCCGTGGCGGCAGGAAGCACCGGGGCCGAGGCCGAGGCGGCCTTCCTGCGACGCTGAGGTGAGGCAGCGAGCTGATGGTGCCAGCGCTGATGATGCGCGTGCGAGTGCGACCGAGTTGGTGTGGTTGCCCGCTCGCGCAGACCGCCCTGGACTTCACCGTCGCGCTCGCCGCCTCCGAGATTGGCTCCTGACCGTGGTGGCGCTGCCGCCTCTCGCCGCCCAGCGCCCTCGTCGTGCCAGCCGGCCTGTGGTACGGATGCCGACTGTGACGGTGATCCGCTGGCAGAGTGGCGCGAGTGGGCTGGCGCGGCGAGTGATCTTCTGCGAGAACCTTTCGACGTGGGCCCCGTGTTGTTGAACATAGTCCGCCAGTTCCCAGGCTCCTTCGGTCGCTTCACTAGATATTCCCTCGAGGTAAAGCCACGCGAGCATCCGGCCGACATGGGAGGTCGGCTTCAGCGAGATCTGTTGCCGTTACCATGCCCTTCGATTACCAGGTCCCAGATCGCCCAGCAGGGCGAGGGCCCTTTGAGCGACAAGGAGTGGGAAGGACTACGCTGCAGGCTGGTGGTCACTGTCCTGGCGCTAAACTGGGAGTCTGGGTTCCGCTCCCTGAAGCTGGCCAGGCCCTGCCGAGGTCGAGCCAACGCCGCGCAGCAGGTAGCCCTGGTCGCTCTCGGCCGCCGCCTCCTCTTGGCTACGCGGGCCGAGTCTGCTTTGCCGCCAGATCTTGACTGGAACGTGCGGCTGAAGGACCGCAAGATCGGCTACGGCGGGGACGAGATCTCGGCCCCGCATCGGCTGGCGCTGGAGCAGGTGCTGGACGGGCTGCCTCCGCCGGGCGTCGCGGCCTCCATCGAGGCGGCCGATTTCGCGACGGGGTTCGTGCGTGGGGCCCTCCTGGACCCGACGCTGGCGCTGCTGCCCGCTGCCCTGCGGCGGCCCGCGCCGACATCTGCGCGCGCGTGGGCCTCGCTCGAGGAGTGGCATCGGATTGTGCGGGCGCTCCACGAGCGCGGGATGGCGTCGGCGATCCCGAGCAGCGAGATTGCCTGTCGCGACGGAGCCCCGCCCCTGAACGGGGCGTTCGGGGCGCCCGAGCCCCGCGACGAGCCCGTGGTCTGCAGCGACGGCGAGCGCAGGCCGGTCCTGAGGCTGATCACCAAGCTCATCCCCTCGAACGCGTGCCAGGAGTGCATCGTGGGAGACACCCCTGAGATGCCGACCATGAGCCAACTGAACGGCCTGGTGCTGACCGAGTCGGGGGATCTCCTGTGGGGCGGCGCGGACAGAAAGGCCTTCTTCTACGTCTTCCGCGCGCCGCCTGTGTGGTGGCCTTACATGGTGATAGGGCCGCCCGTCCCCTCGGAGTTGCTCGGCCTGAAGGACGGTGGGGCCGCGCGCATCTGCCTGCGGGTGATCGGCATGGGCTGGATCAGTGCCGTGGGCGTGACGACCCACCTCCACCGGAACATGCTGCGGCGGAGCGCCTCTGTCCCTCGCGGCCTGCCGCCCAGCCAGGAGATTACTCGGCGCCGACGGCTGCCGTTCAGCGTGGAGAAGCCGTGCCCTCCGGCGTGTATGGTCTACATTGACAACCTGGAGGTCGCGGAGGTCGTGAGCAAGTCCGAGGCCACGACGCTGCGAGGGACGGTGCCCGAGCTCATCTCCGAGGCTCGCGCCTGTTATGCGGCTGCGGGCTCCCCGGGGTCGCCGGCCAAGGACATCCATCGAGTGCCGCGAGCGACGACCTTGGGGGAGCTCATCGACGGGGTCGCGGGCGTTCGGCGGCCCCCTGCGGGTTACCTTACCGAGATGGCCAGCCTCACGCTGTGGACGCTGAGCAAGAAGCGGGCCAGCATGCGGCTGGTGCGCATTCTGCTGGGCCGCTGGGTTCGTGTTTCCTGCTTTCGGCGGCCACTGGCGGCCAGCTTTGCCTACACCTGGAAGTGGCTCGGGAACCCGCGCACTGGCGGCCGCTTCAGCGTGAGCGTGGTCGAGGACCTCTTGATGTGCCTTGCGCTGTCAGGGCTTTGCGTCGCTGACCTGCGCCTTGAAGTCGACCCCCTGGTGACCGCGTCGGATGCCTCGGAGGCCGCTGGCGCCGTGGTCTACGGCTACGCCCTCTCCGACCGCGGGCGCGCGCTGGCCGAGAGGCGGCAGCGGCCCGCGAACGCCGCCTGCGAGGAGGAGACCGCCCTCGTGACTGTCTTCGACGGCATCGGCGGCGGGCGCCGGGCTTTCGAGATCCTCGGGCTGGCCCCTGCCGTGCACCTGTCATTCGAGGTTGACCCCACGGCGGTGCGGGTGGCCCGGCGCAGCTACCCCAGCACGCAGCACCTGGGGGACGTGACGGAGGCGGACCCGGCGGCCCTGGCAGCCCTGCTGCGCGCCCGAGGCCGGGTGTCGCGTGTGCTGGTGGTGGGCGGCTTCCCGTGCCAGGTCTTCGCGGGCCTCAACGTTGCTCGGCAGGGTCTCGACGACCCGCGCGCGGGCCTGGTTGACCACATGGTGCGGATCGTGGACGGGCTGCGGAAGGCCATGCCGGAGGCGTCGATCGACTTCCTCGGGGAGGACGTCGCGTCGGTGCCCGAGTGCGACGTGCTGCGCCTGAACCAGCTCTTCGGCCGCATCCCGCTGGAGATTGAGGCGGCGGATGTCGGCTGGGTCAGACGTCCGCGGCTCTACTGGGCTTCGTGGGACCTCCTGCCGTCCTTCGAGGCTGAGCCCGTCGTAGTGCGGGCCAAGACCCAGGACGTTCGGCGCGCCTGCAAGGTGGCGCTGAAGGCGGAGCGGCCGCCGCTCGAGGAGTGGCTCCCGCCTGGGGCTGTGTGTCCGGGTCCCGCTGCAGGGGAGCCGCTCCCGACCTTCGTGCGCTGGACGCCGCGCTCGCAGCCGCGCCCCAGGCCTGCGGGCATCGGGGAGTACAGCGCTGCTGAGCTGGCGCGCTGGGAGGCGGCGGGCTTCGCTTCGCCGCCCTACCAGTTCCGTGACAAGTGGTGCATCCACCAGGCGGATGGCCGCGTGGAGCCGCCTGACGCGACCATGCGAGAGAAGCTGATGGGCTTCCCGGAGGGCCACACCGCGCCGTGCATGACGAGCAGCCAGGCGAAGGCCGAGGCCGCCAAGTACGAGGCTCTTCGGTGGTCGCTCGTGGGCAACTCCTTCCAGTGCGAGGTCGTGGCCTGGATCACCAGCCACTGGGCCGTCGGAGCTGGGCTGCTGGTCTCGGTGCCCTCGCTGGGTGAGCTGCATGAGAGTGCGCGAGCCTGGGCTGGTGGCAGGAAGCTGTGGGCCGGCGACGTGACGTCGCTGCGGTGCGGTCGCTCCGAGATCGACGAGGGCCTGCACGCCAAGCTGGACCAGGCTGGCGGGCCCATCTACGTGGGTCGTGGGTCTCGCCGCTGGGGGCTGGCTGCCTCGCGGTGGGGCAACCCTTTCGCGATCAGCCCCGAGCGGTCACGCGAGGACGCTGTTGCCCTGCTCGCTGGTTGGATCCGCACGCAGCCCACCTTCCTGCAGAGCTTGGAGACGCTGCGCGGGGCCCTACTGGTCTGTCACTGTGGGCCCGACCAGGCGTGCCACGCCGACATCCTCTTGGCGGAGTTGGCGAAGCGTGACGTGGTGGAGTGGCGCGAGGTGGACGCGTCCAGACGCATCGCCATGGGGCTCGTCATGGCGTGCCACAACAACGGAGCAGCCATCATGACCGATGGCGCCTCGGAGGCGCTCGGCAAGATCTTCCCGCGGCAGGAGATCGACTCAGGCATTTGGCGGTGGCGCAAGGCAAGGCAGCTAGTGTGGGATGCAGCAGAGCACATCAACGTTCTTGAGTGCCAGGGCGCGCTGATGATGATTCGATGGCGGGCGCGGTCGGTGCGCCGCCATTAGTGCGTCTTCCTGCACCTGCTCGACAGCATGGTCAACATCGGTGCGCTGTCCAAGCGCCGTTCCAGCAGTCCTCAGCTCAACAAGGTGGTGCGGACCTTCTCGGCGTGGGAGCTTGCGATGGGCGCGCGGGCGGTCTTCGGCTTCACGTCGTCGGCTCGCAACGTCGCGGGCGCCCCCTCGCGTCTCCGCGATGGGTAAGAAGCGGAGTAGCCCTGCTGACCGCCGCGCCGCCAGAGCTGGACTGGGGAAGCTGAGAGACGTCAGGATAAAGGCCTCGACACTGGCCCGCTACCGTGGCGCCGCTCAGCGTTTTGTTGACTACCTTGCTGCCAATAACCTGCCGCTGCCTTTCAACTGGGACGATATTGATATCTGCCTGCAAGATTATCTTGAGCACTTGTGGGCCGAGGGCGCCACAGAAGGAGAAGCCAATGACGCCCTCAGCGGCGTGCAGCACCTGCTGAGGACACGACGCCGCTATCCTGGCGCTTGGCAGCTGCTGACAGTCTGGGGCAGACTGGAGATCCCTCAGCGCGCGCCGCCGATGCCTGCCCAGGTGTGCACGGCGCTCGCCGGTTGGGCGCTCAGCCGCGGAGAGGTGGCCTTCGCGGCCGTGCTGCTCGCGGCCTTCCATCTCTGTCTCCGCACTGGCGAGGCTTTGGGGCTGAGCGGCGGCGTCATCTTTCTGAAGCCCTGTGGCCGAGGCGCGGTGTCGCTGCCCTGGGCCAAGACCTCTTGCCAGAAGGGCGCGCGGGAGCAAGTCACGCTTGACGACCCGCTGGTTGGGGCAGTCGTCCATGCGCAGCTCCAGCGCGACAGCCGGCTCTGGCCTGGCACGACGCGCGCCTTTCACGACTTGTTCCGTACTGGGCTCCAGCAGATCGGTTGCAGGCACCTCGCCCTGTCTCCTTACAGCCTGTGGCGCGGAGGTGCCACGCATGAGTTCCTGCTGTCGGGCGACTTGTCTAAGGTCATGCTGCGTTGGCGCTGGAGCTCGGCAAGAACGGCAAAGATATACATCCAAGACGGGGCTGCCATCATCGCAGAAATGAAGCTCCAGGATCGTGCCCGTTCGACGCTCCAGCAGTTCTCTAATACCCTTTTTCGCTCGAGTCCGAGCGTTTTGCAGCCCGTGACCTGCTGCAATGATTTTTTATGTCTGGTGCAAGCTGCTGCCCGTGCTGCCGTCGCCAGGCTTGACACATCTCCGGCCTACGGCCAGAGGAAAAACACCGAATGGAGAGCTTGGTGTCTTTTTCGAGAGTTGGCGAGCTTCTTGGGCACGGTCCTGCTGGGCTCTCAGGGGGTTCTCTTTGCTGGGCCCCCCCAAGGCCGTCGAGCCTCCCCTGGCCCCCGAGGCCTGGCCCCAGTCTCCCGTGATGGTGGCCGACCCCAGTCTGCGGATGGTGGTCTGCGAATCCAGCTCCGGCCTCGGGGTGCGGTCTGTGCTCTGGCGTGGGGGGTCGGTCCGTGCAAAAGAGGGTAGACCTGTCGAGCTCCGTGCAGAGGCCTCTGTAAATATAAATATAGTGCCCATGGGAGTTTAAGCTCTGTCAACAGCTTTGGCCGATTGAAGAGGGAAAGACATTTCTCCTTAATTCGATGAGCTATCGCTCACCCCCCGCCTGCCCCACACATGTATACGTTTACGGTAGATGTGTGGGCATCAGGGGGGTTGCGTGTCACATCGGCCGCATTCGCTTGCATGGCAGCTGTTCTGGCCAACCCACATACCGCCCTAAGTGGCGAATGCATTGAGTCTCGCGAGAGCTCGAGCTTCTTGGGCACGGTCCTGCTGGGCTCTCAGGGGGTTCTCTTTGCTGGGCCCCCCCAAGGCCGTCGAGCCTCCCCTGGCCCCCGAGGCCGTGGAGCGTTCTGGCCCCAGTCTCCCGTGATGGTGGCCGACCCCAGTCTGCGGATGGTGGTCTGCGAATCCAGCTCTGGCCTCGGGGCGCGGTCTGTGCTCTGGCGTGGGGGGCCGGTCCGTGCAAAAGAGAGTAGACCTTTCGAGCTCCGTGCAGAGGCCTCTGTAAATATAAATATAGTGCCCATGGGAGTTTAAGCTCTGTCAACAGCTTTGGCCGATTGAAGAGGGAAAGACATTTCTCTTCAATTCGATGAGCTATCGCTCACCCCCCGCCTGCCCCACATACACATATATATATATATATATATATATATATATATATATCTTCGTACATATATGAGTATATCGACACACCCATATACATATATCCATATATAAACACATACCAACATGGAGAGAGGGAGAGCGAGAGAGAGAGAGAGAGAGAACAGCAACACACCTTTTCGGGTCAGGAGGTCCGAGTTTCTGGCGCGCCTTTGGTCCTTCGCTGTGCTGCTGGGTGGCATCCAGAGATCGCCCTGGGGGACCTGACGAGGAGGCATTTGGAGTTCAGGAGGGGAAAAGCACACAATTAATCGTCGATTCCCCTGAAAATAGGGGAAACGATGGGATGGGGACGGAAGACGAAAACCGTACACATATGGGAACATATGGGGAATATGTTTATTTGTGTATATTTATTTGTGTGTCCTTGGGCCTCTTCAGGAGTTCCCTCCATTCCTTGCGGATCCTTGGAAATAGCCTGGGGCCCATCGTGCTCGCCACGAGCCGCGCCTCGTCGTGCGCCGCGCGATGTTCCTTCTGGCTGGTTTGGGGCGGGCATGCGCACACGCTCACACACACACGCACATTCACACACACACGCATTCATACACGCATTCGCACACATAGTCACATTCACACACTCTCACACACATTCACACATACAGGCACACACACATTGACACACACACACACACACACACACGGACACGCACGCACGCACTCACGCACGCACGCACGCACGCACGCACGCACGCACGCACACACACACACACGCACACACACACACACACACACGCACACACACACACACACACACACACACACGCGCGCGCACGCGTTCACACACAGACATTCAAACATACACACACACACACACACACACACACACACACACACGCACATTCTCTCTCTCTCTCACACACACATTCACATACACACACCCACACACACATTCACGCACACGCACACGCACACACGGGATTGACACTTGCTGCTTGCTGCGGTTGCCCTGGCGGCCCCGTGCTATCCCCTGCGCTTGTGGTGTGCGTGAGCCTCCCTGTCCGTGGCGCTCGATTGCCACTGAGTGCGCCCGCGATCCGGCCCTGCATCCACGGCGGGTGAGAGCTCAGGACGTGCCCCCCAGCACGGACCAAGGGTTCCTGGGCGAGCGTTTCCTGGAGGTTCTTCCCCGTTTTCGGGGCTCTGGGGCCCCCCGACCCTCACGAGCGCCGATCCGAGGCAAAGACCTGCGTTCCAGACCGTTTTCGAGGCTCTGGGGCCCCCCGACCCTCACGAGCGCCGATCCGAGGCAGAGCCCTGCGTTCCAGGAGCCGCTCTCCTCGGGACCCCGCTCTCGCTTCGTGCCAGGCCCTGGGGCGCGCCAGGGGGCCCCTGCGCGGGGACCTGCTGACCCGGGTCAACCCAGACCCGCTCGGCATCGCTCGGGCGCGTGCACTTTTTCCCCGGCGAGGACCATCGAGGACCACCCTGGACCATCGAGCAACAAAAAAAAACACGCACGACACCGAAAAGTGCACGGGAAATGGACGTCCGAGCGATGGCGAGCCCAGGCCAGTCGGGCTTTGCAGGATCCTGCAAGATCCTGCCGGATCTTGCGGGATCCTGCCTCCCAAGCCCCGGTCAGTGCACCCCTGGGCCCCGCAGGACCCTGCAAGATCTGGCGCCCCTCTGACCACCGTTTGCATGGACCCCCGTCCCGAGGCCCCCGACGTGTATGGTGAAAGCGACGCGACGATCCGGCCCTGAGTTCTGCCACGGCGTTGGAAGTCTGCACGGGCACGCGGCACGGGTGCCTGACGCACGTGCCGTGCCGCAGGGGATGGCGCTGCCTCGGGCACCCCTGGAGCTCTGACCCTCGGTATTCGCCATCTGTACGGTAAGTCATGCGGCGATGGTACGCCGGCGACACCGGCGACGGCGTTCAAGGTTGAATTCCGCACGACAGAACGACGCGGAAGCACCGAGGGACACGGTAACGCCACGGGACCCGACGAAATTCAACCTTGAAGGATTGGGCCGCGATCGGTTCAAGATTGAACGATCGGCTCGGTGTCAACCATTTTGGCGCGTGCCGACGCCGCACGAACTTACCGTACACCTGAATGCGCCGGTCTTGGGCGACGTCAGGAGCAGTGTGGGTGCATAGTTGGCCCCCGTGTCCCTCCGGGCCCGCAGGAAAGACACGCTTCACGATGGCATCGAGGCTGTTGTGGTCTGCAACCTTGCTCTTTTCGGACCAGAAGAGGGTGAGGATGACGAGGAGAAGGTTCCCAGAGGTGTTCTGCATGGGGAGGCCAGCAAAAGTGGCTGTAGCCTGCCCTTCCATTCTTTCCAGCCCTAGCAAATGTCCCTGTAGTTTTTCCCGCCCTGGCGACCGTGTCCCAGCGGTTTTGTTTGTGCCTTGCCAGTTTTCCAGCCTTGTTTTTAACTTGAATTTCATTTGACATGTTTTTCAGTGCATCTGTATTCCTTTCTGGTAGACTCTTGAATCTGTTCTGGCCCAGCGTCGGAGTGGGCGTGTATCAGCAATCTCGGTAGTGCTTGCCATTTCATTCCTCACTCTCTCAGGGCGCAAGTCCTGGGAGGTCAAGTGAATCTGCTGGTTCCTTCGTGCCAGTCTGGCCAGCTCCGATTCAACCAGGTGTAGTCCGGCCGGATGTGGTGCCTTTCTTCGCATAGTTTGGTGTGACCTTTCCTGAATGTGCGCAAGAGGCCTCTATATCGTGATTCCAGACCTCCGAGCTGCTTCCAAGCTTTCCCTCGCCTCCTCGAACCGACGCCGACGCTGACGGCGACCTGCCCCGCCGACGACGGCGAGCAGGAGGACCTGCAGGCAAGCCCCGAGATCCTCGACCACGACGCCGTCCCATCTGGGGTATGCCTCAATCTTGGTCGACCTGCGAGGATCGATGCTCCTGAGGACGTGTGTTAACCCAATGCGCGTTTACCCCGTTCGTCTCCGCTGGTCGATCGTTACACCGCCTACGCCGTACATGAAAGGGCGTCGATGGACGAGCACCTCGCTGGCACTGGCACGTTCTGAGGATCCTCGAGAGGACTCCTTCCCGTCTCCTTGCTGCCACTGTATATGCCTCAGGCTTCGATCTGCAAGGGCTCCCCCAGTACGTGCCTCTGGTCTGTCTCCTCCGGAGGAGACAGACCAGAGACGGACCAGAGCGGAGGAGACGCGGCCTGGTGAACGAGGACGAGGACGAGGAGGTGGGGGGGGATAAGGAGGGGGGGAAGGAGGATAATGAACGGGAGGGGGGTAGAGGAGGAGGGAGAAGGATGGGGGGGGAAACCATGGGGAGGAGCCACATGCTGCGGGAGGAGACGCGGCCAGAAGGTACCGTGGGGGAAGCTCACGGGTGGGGAGGGCAGGTGCGGCTCCCCGGCACCCCTTGGGGCTGCGGTGGCACGGGCCCCCTCCCTCGGGGTGCTTCCACTGCACCACGGTTGTCCCCGCGTCTGGCTGCCCTGCTGATCTGGGCCTCCCAGATGGGGTCGGAGCAGATGGGGTCGGAGGATCGCGCCGCATCGCCGATGCATCGACGATGCGGCTCGCTGTGGAGCCCGTGCTTCCCCACGCCGACGTCGCCGATGCATCGCCGACGTCGCCGATGCATCGCCGATGCATCGCTGATGCATCGGCGACGCATTGGCGATGCGGCGCGATCCTTCGACCCCATGGCGCACGGAGCCTCTCGGCGAAAGCGCCCCGCAGGGCGAGCGAGCCCGCCCGGCGTGCTTCGTCGACGACGCCGCCGGTGACGCCGGCGGAGACGGCGGCGGCGACGGCGACGGCGAGGCCGAGGGCGAGGCCGAGGGCGTCCTGGCCGCGGCTGCCCGAGGTCCCCGCGAGGGGTCCCGCCCGCGCGGGCGCGCGCGCGCGCGGGGGGGTATAGGCCCTTGTCCGCCGCGCCGCCGCATGCTGGCGAGGCAGGCCGGGCGAGGAGCCAGGGGTCGAAGGAGAGAACTCGCCATAATTAAAGCTGGCGCTATGCGCGGATTTCTTGGATCCGCGCTGGGCTCCTCTGGCAACGCCTCCGGCGGGGGGATCCGGCGCAGATCCAAGAAATCTTCGCGGAGCGCCAAACAGTTTATGTTTGTGGCGTTTTCGCTCTTCTTCTAAAGGGAGGGATGATGGCCATCGACTACACGAAAGAGTGATCCTTCGCTGGAGTGACCTCTGGTGCGGGCCCATCGGGGCCCCCACGATCGCCGAGCGCCCTGCGATGGCGGCCGCGTGCGCGCTGGGGTTTCGCCACTGTGCGCCCCTGCCTCCGCGCACCAAAGGTCACTC